TCTACTGGGCCGGGGCGCTTCGTTCTACTCTCCGTCGCCCGGTCTTGGCTTCCCTTCTCATCCTGACCCTTTTTCAATCCTCTTTTATTTGCTTTCTTGTTGATTTTGATTTTTATTTATTTATTTTTTTTTTTAATGAAAGATCTGGGGTGGAAGTCGTGCTGAACAAACCCTTCAGAGATAACATTCCTAGTTTGATGGAACCTTCGGGGCTTTTAGTTTAGTTTATCCTCTCTCTGAAGGGAGGCAGAGAGAGAGAGAGAGAGAGAGAGAGAGAGAGAGAGAGAGAGAGAGAGAGAGAGAGAGAGAGAGAGAGAGAGAGAGAGAGAGAGAGAAAACATCGGGGCCATAATTTACCACATCCTAGATATGATTGTTTGGGATGCCACGACTGATCAGCCCAAGGATCATTCTGTTTCATGGAAAAAAAAATAAAAATAAAGGTAGAGAGGGTGGAGGGAGGGCGGGTGAGAGGAGGGGGAAAGGAAGGGAGGGAGAGGGAGGGAGGAGGATAAAGGAGAGAGGGAGGGGGAAGGGAAAGAGGGAGGGAGGAGGGGAAGGGAGAGAAGGAAGGAGAGAGGGAGGGAGGGAGAGAAGGAAGAAGGGAGGGAGGGAGGGAGAGAGAGAGGGGGGGAGAGATAGAGAGACAGAGGTAAGGGAGAGAGAGAGAGAGAAAGAAAGAAAGAAATAGAGAGAGAGAGACAGAGATAAACAGACAAAAAAGAGACAGACAGACAAACAGACTGAAAAAGAGACAGACAGACAAACAGACAGAAAAAGAGACACAGACAGACAAACAGACAGATCCAGAGTACTGCCCTCTAAGCGATACACACCCCCAACGCGAGCAGAAACGATTCTTTACCCCCTCCCCCCTTCTCTTTCCCCTCCCCTTCCCCTCCCCTCCCCCTAACCCCCCCACACGCCCCGAAAACCCACCTAGCGGACGTCTCTTTGCCCTGAGAGCCAATTACACCCTCTGCACAATATACCGCCGACCTTGCACCCGTATCTCGTAACCTTATAATTCTTGCCGGGGCGACGGACAGGGCCCCCACCTTATGGTTTCTCCTGTCCCTGTGGTCGCCAGTTTGCAACATATATCGCAACAACTACTCTCTCCTCTTCCCTTATTTTGTTGTTTTCTTGTTTGTTGTTGGGTTGGGTTTGGGTTGGGTTGAGGTTGGGTTGGGTTGGGTTGGGTTGGGGTTTGGGTTGCCTTGGGTTGGGTTGAATTGAGTTGGGTTGAGTTGAATTAAGTTAGGTTGGGTTGACTTAGGTTGGGTTCGGTTGGGTTCATCTGAGTTGAGTTGAGTTGAGTTGGGTTGAGTTGGGTTGGGTTGGGTTGACTTGGGTTGGGTTGGATTTAATTGAGTGTTGGGTTGGGTTCAATTGAGTTGGGTTCGATTGGGTTGGGTTCATCTGAGTTGAGTTGGGTTGGGTTGGGTTGCGTAGAGTTGAGTTTGGTTGGATTGGGTCGGGTTGATTTGAGTTGGGTTGGGTTGGGTTGATTTGAATTGGGTTCGGTTGAGTTGGGTTCATCTGAGTTGAGTTGGGTTGGGTTAACTTGGGTTGGATTGGGTTGGGTTGAGTTGAGTTGAGTTAAGTTGCGTTCGGTTTAGTTATTTTAGTTTAAGCTCGCGCTTGGTTTAGCCAGGATTGATTTAGCAAGCTTAGGTTAGATTAGGCTCGCTTTGGGTCGGCTGGCCTCACAGAGATCTATCCTCGTCAGTGGCGGATTTAGGGGGGGGGGGCAATATATACTATATGTATATATATATATATATATATATATATATATATATATATATATATGTGTGTGTGTGTGTGTGTGTGTGTGTGTGTGTGTGTGTGTGTGTGTGTGTATAGGAACCTCATGGGCTTCATCGTTCTCGGTAATTATCATTCTCACTGTCAAATCATTATAAAACATAGCATGACAATCTTTCTCTGTCGAGGTAGCATGGCTAAAACTTTCCATACACAATTTTCCAACCACTCAAAGTGAGCATGACCTACGGTGTAAGCTAAATTGATTTCCTACAGCAACATACTGATAGTACAATATCAATCAATTACAGAAGGTTTATAAGCGCCCCCTTTTATCAACTGCCCCCCCCATTCCACTTCAGAATAGAAAATGTGGAGTGAGGAAAAGCTGTGACGTAAAGTATCACGTGACGTGTTTCTCCATTACGCTACCGACCTTCTCCTCCCTCCCCCTCCCCCTCCCCCTTCTCCTCCTCTCTCCCTCCTACCCTTCCCCCTCCCCCTACTCCTCCTACTCCTCCTCCTCCTCCTCCTCCTCCCCCTCCCCCTTCCCACCGCCGCCACCTTCATCACACACACACACGCTCTCAACCCACGTGTTACCAGGTGGACTTTGTTTACTTAAGAACTACTGTGTTAGGTCTTATCGATGCCTTATCTGTTCTCTCTCCCCCCACCTCCCTACCTACCTACACCCACCTTTCCCCTTCCCCCCCACCCTACATTCTCCTCCTCCCCCATTGTCTCCCCCCTACCTACCTCCCCTTCCCCCCTTGTCTCCCCCTACCTACCCCCTCTCCCCCCTTGCCTCCCTCCTACCTACTCCCCATCCTTCCTTATCTCCCCCCCACCTACCCCCCTCATCTTCCCTTGTCTCCCTCCTACCTACTCACCCTCCCCCCCCCTTGATTATCACCTGACTTCCATGCACTATGGACTGACCCCGAGATAAGCACCAGCAAAGGTAAATTACAAAGGGATCTTTAACCTTAATGTTTATCCCGCACGATATCGCCGATCACGTTTCGGGAAATGTAACGAAGGGAGGAAGAGAGGAAGGGAGGAAGAGAAAAAGGGAGGAAGAGAGGAAGGAAGGAAGAGAGACATGGAGAGAGGAAGGGAGGAAGAGAGACATGGAGAGAGGAAGGGAGGAAGGGAGGAAGAGAGGAAGGGAGGAAGAGAAAAAGGGAGGAAGAGAGGAAGGAAGGAAGAGAGACATGGAGAGAGGAAGGGAGGAAGAGAGACATGGAGAGAGGAAGGGAGGAAGAGAGACATGGAGAGAGGAAGGGAGGAAGAGAGACATGGAGAGAGGAAGGGAGGAAGAGAGACATGGAGAGAGGAAGGGAGGAAGAGAGATATGGAGAGAGGAAGGGAGGAAGAGAGACATGGAGAGAGGAAGGGAGGAAGAGAGACATGGAGAGAGGAAGGGGGGGTGTAATAGGAATGTGGGAAGAAGGAAAAGGGACGAGGATGGGGGAGGGGGTAGAAGGAATAAATGGGAGAGGGAAAGGTGAATGTGGAAAGGGAGAAGAGGTAATAGCAATATGAGAACAGGAAAGAGAGACAAGGAGGAGGAGGAGAGGAATAAGCGAAAGAGGGAATGGTGAATGGGGAAAGGGGAAGGAAGGCAGACAGGAAGGGGAGATAAATATGTAGGAAAGAGAAAAGAAACAAGGACAGGAGGGAAAAAAAGAACTGGGAAAAGGGAAAGGAAGGAAATGATGAAGGAAAGGATAGTGAAGGGCAGAGGAGGATAGGAAGAGAATAGAGACAATGAAAAGGGGAACAGAGAAAAGGAGAAAGGAAAAGAAGCAAGAGATAAGGACAAGAGAGAACTAGTGAATAAAGGGGAAGAGGAAGGGGAAGGAGGAGAGGGGAAAAATGAGGGGGAGGAGGAGATGGTGGAAGAAGATGAAGAGGGGAGGAGGAGGAGGAGGAGGAGAAGAAGGAGGAGGAAGATGGAGAGGAGGAGGAAAGGAGAAGGAGGAGGAGGAGGAGGAGGAGGAGGAGGAGAAGGAGGAGGAGGAGGAGGAGGTGGAGGAGGTGGAGGAGAAGAAAGAGAGGACGAGAAGAGGAGGAGGAAGAGGAGGAAGATGAGAGTAGGAGGAGGAGGAGGAGGAGGAGGAGGAGGAGGAGGAAGAAGATGAAGAGGAAGAAGAGGGAGAGGGGAAGAAGAAGGAGGAAGAGGAGGAGGAAGACGAAGAGGAGGAGGAAGAGGAGGAGAAGGAGGAAGAGGAGGAGGAGGAGAGGAAGAAGAAGAGGAAGATGAAGAGGAGGAAGAGGGAGAGAGAGTTCATCAGGAGGAGGAGAGGAAGAAAGGAGAGGGAGAAGGAGAGTTCATCCCAGGCCTTACTTCAACAGCATGGTGATCGAGGTCGAGCCTGGGCATGGAATTCTGCAGGAGGGAGATGACGGCGCGCTTGAAGTTGAGAGCGCGCGGGTCCTCGTCGGAAGCAGGGCACACCTCCTCCACGACGCCATCTTGGTATGAAAACCTGAGGGCGACAAAATACGAGAAAAAAAAAGTTAGGAAACATAGGCACCTTTTTCGTGGTTCCTTGATTTTATAATGTCTAAACTGTAGGAAGAAGAAAAAAACTTGCACAGTAATAATGAGTTGTTTCGAAATATTAATTAGATTGATAATTCAATGATTAAACAACTGAAAATATAATCTCAGTTCTTGTTAAAATTAATTATTTCCTTTTTTTTCATTCCAATAACTGTTGTATACCTTTTTCTGTATCCTTTAAAACTGTCATACCATGTCTATAAACTAAATCTTACATATTAACATAACTTTATTTTTCTTTTATCATTATTATTATCATTATCACCATCATCATTATCATCACTATTACTACCATTGGCCTTGTTGTTGCTATTGTTGTTTTATCGCAACCATCCCTCACTTTCTTAATTAACGGGCACCAAGAGCTTCCTCACCTGAGTGGGTTCTTGGTGAGCGCCGCCGTGAAAGCCGGGTCATTTACTGTCTCCATTTCCCCCTGGTTGTCGCTCTTGCTCGTTAGGATGGTTATACCTGACACCTGCAAAAAGATACGTAAAGTTTTAGGGATAATAATGGCAACAGACATGGTGGTAATGGTAGGTATGTTGGTAATGGAGATTATGGTTGTGATAGTTGAAGTGGTGGTGGTGGTATTAGGAGTCCAAAAATAGCAGAAACGAGTAGGGATAACAGTAGTAGCCATAGTAAAGGAGGATGTTTGTCTAGTACTTAGAGATCCAAAAGTAATGATAGAGGAAATGGTAATATTAGTGGTAGATGCAACTTGTAACATGTGGTTTGTGATAAGCAGGAAGTAGAGTAAATAACATGAAATCTTCGACCAAGTTTTCTCGTTCTGGAAGACCAAAAAAAAAAAATAGAATAGAAATAGATAAAATAGATAGAATATCGGAAACTCCTTCATTAATGTTACTGCTGCTGACTGTACTTTTGACATAACTGTCCGTAATAATATCAGAAATAATGATATAAACAATGTCGATATCATAAAATCTACAGAGTACATAAAGAAGAAGAAAAATAGAATTAGTAATTAAGTTCTAGTCTAGAGGCGACATACAAAAAAAAGGCAAACACGTAAACAGAAAAATAGAAGAGAGGGCGAAGCAAAGGAAAGAGCTAAACAGAAGAAGAAGAAAAAAAAAGAGCAGAAAAATAGAAGAAAAAAGACCAAGAGCAAAAAAAAAAAATCGAACGAAACTTTAAAAAAAAAAACACCAAAAACTCACAACAAGCTCCATTTCGCAGGCGGTGAGAACGTTAAGGGTAAGCTCCGCCTCCATCGATATGGTCGTGTTCTTGGGCGAGGAACCTACCACTTGAGTTGTGGTTTGGGTCTGGTACTTGTACATGTAGGCCCGGCCGTCCAGGAACTTCATCTTGCCGCGACCTGTAATGCGGTTGCAGTGCGGGAAAGGTGCAGGTCAGCGGGGTTATAGTCATGGTGTCCGTTTATTCTGTCAATGGGCTCTTGTCTCATGAGCTTAGCCTGTATGTTATGTTGATTATTTTTTTGTTTATTTGTTTTTGTTATTAATTAATCGTATTGCATTTTTGCTTCTTACGCTCAGCATTCATTCATACTAATATATATGTATGTGTGTGTGTGTCTGTGCGTGTGTGTGTGTGTGTGTGTGTGTGTGTGTGTGTGTGTGTGTGTGTGTGTATATATATATATATATATATATATATATATATATATATATATATATATATATATATATGTATATATATATATATATATATATATATATATATATATATATATATATATATATATATTTATTTATGCGCGTGTGTATGTGAGTTGCCACCATTCATTCACAGACTGACACTTAGTCATCGCTACCTGTAGATACGCATATGAACAAAATAACTATTTAGTAAACAATGTTGTAGATAAGAACCGTGTAAACAATTATGCGTATGATAAGATGACCTTAAGTATTATATATGAGGACGAAAGTGAAAATTCTCACTTCGTAAGATGTGATTTTCAAAAAAAACGAGGCGGATAAAGAAAACATTAAATACTTCGTGTCAGTTATTTATGTTCGTTAGTGAGTCCGAAATATCAAAGTAATAATTCACCTTTGTAATATTGCATTTACCAGTTTAGATTTTTTTCTCTCAAATGGAATCTGTCATTGAATATTATCTAGACTGAAGGCTACACTGATTGGAGTCACTCTTAATACTGATATTAATGTGACAAGATATTCAAGAGTAAAGACGATTAAGTGTGTATATGAACCTAACTTATCAAAAATATCGTCAATGCGGTCACACTATAGACAGACAGAGAGAGAGAGAGAGAGAGAGAGAGAGAGAGAGAGAGAGAGAGAGAGAGAGAGAGAGAGAGAGAGAGAGAGAGAGAGAGAGAGAGAGAGAGAGAGAGAGAGAGAGAGAGAGAGAGAGAGAGGGAGAGACAAAGATAGAGAGATAGGTATGTAGGGTGGTAGATAGATATATGGATTGGTAGTTAGATAGGCGGATACATGGATACATATACAAACAGATGGGCAGATAGATAGATCCATAGTAGAAAAGGTATGAATGAGAATGAATGAGATGTATTTGACCGGTTTCGAGTATATCATACATCTCTCGTACTGTGAAGATATTCATTCTCATTCATACCTTTTCTACATTTGTCAACATGAATACGGTTCATAAATCCATAGACAGATAGATATAAGATAACATATTTTCTTTGACAAAAAAATGTAACTCTTCAAAAAGTAATCCTCATTTTCTACACATTTAATTACCATTGATTTTACAGTTAAATGACTCTACGCTGATGTCACCTCCCAAGTGTGATAACCATTCACACAGCGAGAACAGTTGTACTTGACAATCAGCTGATCAGGGTCAGTCGACACACAGTCTAATGTTCCCACTTGGACCTCAAATGTCATAGTTGATAACGCATTCATTAGAAGCATCAAGGGTGATTGGCCTATAATAATGATTGTAAGGACGAAAACAATATTATTAATAATGGTAATAGTCATAATAATGATGATTGTAGTAATGATAATGACAATGATAACATTACTGATGATAGTAATAATAATGATAATGATAGTAATAATAACAAAAATAATAACGTTAATGATGATGATAATAAAAATAATAATGATAGTGATAATGATGATAATGATAGTAATAATAATGATAATGATAGTAATAAT